AGTTGCTCAGCCCCACCGTTGCTGAGGCTGGCTTTTGAACTCATGATCCTCCTCTTAGCCTCCTGAGCTTCTGGAATTATAAGCGTGTGTCACCATGTCTGGCTCACCTGTTTCTTTTTAATTTTTAAAAATATTGTTGTTAAATGAGTAATTTTGAATCTTCTGTCTCACATTATACTTCTCCCATCCAAGTATCAACCAGACTCAATCCTGCTTTGCTTCTGAGATTGGGGAGATCAAGTACATTCAAGGTGGAATGGCTATAGACTCATGTTATATTTCTATTGGACAGTGCTCTAGAAAGTATAGCAATGTCAACAAATGTAATCATGGAATCTGAGACTTAACTTTTTTTTTTTTAGGCACTGAGTATTGAATCCAGGGCCTCATGCATGCTAGACTAGTGCTTTACCACTAAGCTATATCCCCAACCCTTTTTAAATTTTATTGTGAGATAATTTCTCACTATTTTTCCTTGATTGGTCTTGAGCTTCTAATCCTCCTGGCTTAGCCTCCTGAGTGTCTGGCATTACAGGCATGCACCTCTGTGCCTGATTGAGACTGACAGTTCTTTTGGAGGTAGTAATTGAACAGTTTGCTTATAGTTTCATTGGCCTACTTTTTAAAAGAGGCTTCAGGTTTGGGAAACCCTGTAATGCTGCTGTCTTTATCAGGTGCTCAGTGGGTTAGGTTCCTTTACTTGAAAATTGCAACATTTGGCATCATTTTGAGTTCTTATTTAGATGCTGAATCAGTTTAGAACCTTTTCGAACTCTTCCCGTGGTCTAAATACTCTCTTTTTGGCTCTTGTCTTATATGCCAAGACAAGTCACATCTCATCGCTGGCCACAGGCACTTAGTCATAGCATGATATGCAAACAGGAGAGCCTGTGATTCATCTCTCAACAACAGAAAACTGCGCAGTGGCCGAGCAGTCCAGAGAAGGAAGAGAGCAGCAGTCCAGAGAAGGAAGAGAGCGGCAGGAAGGGTAGTCAGAAGAGACTGAGGCTGTGGGCTGTGTCTCCTTGTATTCTTTAGTCATTTCCTGTGTCCCCTTGAAAACCTTGCATGGGGATGTTCTGCATGGGGCAGCAGAGGATGGGACTTGGTCACCCACGTGGAAGATAGGCCTGACTGTGTTTCCTATCTGCTGGCCCTAGGTCCACTCAGCTAGGAGAGGAGATGTTTTAAAATTGGCCCCAAGCAGACTACAGGCTTATTTGTTTATTTTTCTTTATCTCTATGTAGTGCTGAGGATAGAACCCAGGGCCTCACCCATACTAGGGGAGCACTCTACCACTGAGCCACAACCCCAGCCCTTAGATTAGATTAGATTTTGATAGTTGGCTGTTAAGTTGAAATACTTGACCTTCCTTTGTTTAGGAATTGAAGAAAATATGACAGTGTCTGTCAGTTTTGACTTTCCTGTATATACACAGAACTATGACTGTGAATCAGACAGAAGAAAAAACTAACTTGCCTTTAGTGGAAACCAGTCACTTTGGAATCCTACCCAGTATGGTGTGTTTTCAGTGGCTTGAGACAGCAGCTCAGATTACACTGCAGCTCCTGTGTTGGGGGCAGGGGACAGCAAGTGACACAGCATCCAACAGACACTTACATAACCATGACTTCAGGGGACAGGATTAAGCTGTGAATGAACCTCCCAAGCCCAGTGAGATGATATTAGAACACAGCATTTCAATTTTTCTCTCAAGTTTGACTAGAAAATCAGCACCAGGATCGTCTTTTTCTCAAACTAGACCCCCATTGCTCTCAGAACTTTCCCTGGTTCATGGCGTATCCTCTTGTAGAAGAAGGGCGCTCTCAGTGCAGCAATTTCTAGGTAAGTCACCGAACCTGTCTGGTGCTCAATTTCCTTTAGGTTGTCCAGTAGGGCCGAGTTGAAACCTGGGGCTTCCAGGTGCAGCGTTCTGGAAACATGGTGTTAAACTCCCTCTCCTGGCAGGTTAAATTCATTGCAAATCCTTCAACTCTCCTCTGCTTTCTACAGGATTTCAAGATTTAGTGTTTTCATTTTGCTGAGGAGAAGTAGAACCCTCCACAAAGGTCTGAGCTGATGTGCAGAAGTGTGATTTGCCCAGGGCAGGGAAGGGTCCTAGCTGTGCTCTGGATGGCCTTAATCAGATTTGGGTTCCTCCATTGGTGGCTGGTTATTTTTACTTTGGCAAAGTTAGAGCCACAGTCACTTTCACTTTTGGATCCCTTCCCTTTCATTTTCTGGTTAGTAGAATCACACAAGATGAAGTTAGAAGCTGATCTTGATGGATTGATATCCTCAGGCTGTAAATGAGAACCCTGTGGTCTGGAAACAGGTTAAATGAGTTTAAGATCATCAGCTGGGACAAAATGCAGATGTCTCATTTTCCAGGCTAGCTGTCTTTTTTTTTTTTTTTTTAAATCCATGATTAAAAAAGTAGATAAGAAATCAGATAAGAAAAAAAATGAAGAAAAAAATTAGGGAAGAATTAAGAAGAATGCTGTTTGTTTTGAGCAGAACTTAGTCCTCCTTGCTTGTTTTTGTGACCTACTTGTTCTGAGGAGCCTCCTCTTTATGTAAATTTCTTAAAACTTTTCTAAGGGTGTCATGGGTTCAGTAGAATGTAAGAGTTTGGATTTTACTAAAGTATGTATCATCTATAATTAAAAAACCTCTTAATTGTGGAAAGTTTCAGACGTGCAGAAGTAGAGAAAATAACACCATCCGCAACTTGTATTTGGTCCATCATCAGTCTGTCTTAATATTTTAGTGCATGATAATCAAACTCCCATGTTTTTCAAATGTATTTTGCTATTGCCAGTAAAATGTCTTTTTGCTTTTAGGAAAATTGAGTACTTTCATTTATTATTCATACTATTATGCTTTTTGTGGTATGAAACAATTCTATCTCTGAGGATTTTGAGGATGCTTATCCTAAAAATTAATGTCTTTGAGTCGTATACTTAGGATGATCTGAAAGCTCTAACCGAAGTGCTCTTTACCACTGTATTAGGTAAGATGAGCAAGGTGCTATAACAAATAGCCCCACTAATTTTAGTAACTTGAACTGATAAGCTTATTTTTAGTTCTGGGACAGACCAAGAGAAATGGGGATGATGATTCAGAGCTGTAGACCTCCCATCCTAGGATCCTGCCATCCTCAGCACTTGCTTGCTGGATGCTGGGAGAGTCTCATTAAGCCACTGGGAGGAAGAGGTGTGGGGGCTTGCCTGTGGGCGTGGGCTGGGCCTAGATGTAGCATAGTGCTCATGCTGCTTGTGAGTTTCTCATTCTGTTGGGGCGGGTCTGAACTGCCACAGGAACAGAAGGAACCACAGGCCTGGGTGCCTGCTTTGCCATGATATGTTTGCATCCTGGGTGGAGAGGTCCTTACCATACCTCCCTGAGGAAGCCATTGTATAGTGGCCCAGAAATTATCATATTTTTTTCCTCCTTATGAAATTAATTTTATCTGTTCATTAAATAAAATTCAAGACCCAAGAAAACACCAAGGTACAAACACTACAAATAGTCCCATCAACTGGAGATAATTATTAGTAACCCTTAGTTCCTTACAACTGAAGATTTTTTTCTTTCTGTACTAGGGCTTCAACCCAGTGGCATTCTACCACTGAGCAATATCCCTAGCTCTTTTCATTTTTTATATTTTTGTGGTACTGGAGATTGAACCCCGGGTGCTCTATCACTTAGGGTGCTCTATCACTTAGACTACCATTCACAGTCCTTTTTTAATTTTTTTGGTACTGTTGAATGAACTCAGGGATGCTTAAAGTCTGAGCTAATCACCAGCACACCCTCCCCCTCCTTTTTTGAAGCAGGGTCTTCCTAGGTTGCTGAGGCTGGCCTTGAACTTGGGATTCTCCTACCTTAGCCCCAAAGTCACTGGGATTATAGGCGTGTGCCATTGTGTCCAATTTATACATTAAAAAATTTTTTTTAAGTTATAGGTGGACACAATGTATTTTATATGGTGCTGAAGATTGAACCCAGTGCCTTACACATGCTAGGCAAGCACTCTACCTCTGAGCCCCAGACTGTTGATGGATCTTTATTTATTTATATGTAGTTCTGAGAATTGAACCCAGTGCTTCACACATGCCAGGCCAAGCGCTCTAGCTACAACCCCAGCCCAACTGACAAATCTTAATCCTCATTTTTCATGGTAAGTAGAGTAAACTATTGGTGGTGGTGAATTAGTGCTCTGTTAGAGTGGTAGGGTCAGGACAACATTTTAAGTTTATAGTTTAGTTTACTCAGTTTTCAGAATTGTTCAATAAGCTTGGTTTTCTAAGAGGGAAAGAAAAAGTGTTGAAGCTGAACCAAAATAGCAACTTGCAAACTCGAAGCCTCCCTGCCGGGGTTCTGGGTGCTGAGCAGACTCCTAGGTGCCTGCGCTTTTCTCTGCTCACCTGCTCAGCAGTGGAGATGATGGTGGTAGGATAAAGTCCTGGAAGAAGGTTCATTGCTTGGGTCGGCAGCTCCAGGTTCAGGGGTACAGATCCTCGGGTTCCTCTTTAAAGTGAAGAGTAGCTTGGAGGCGGACTATCATCAGAATTCCTGTTTGTGAGGTCATCAACATGAGGTCACAGCCAGGTGGTTCAAAACGTTGCCCAGCTTCTGCCAGGGTGTGATCTGAGGCTGGTCCAATTCCACAGACACCATGAGGTACCACTTTGACTCAGTGCTAGACTTGTGTTGTCTTTCTGCAGCTTCTGTATGTAAAAAGTAGATGTGGATGCCAGGTCGTCTGTCTTTTACTGAAAGAGATTGTGTAATTGTAAGAAAATCATTGTGCTCAGGTAGGATTTTTTTTTTTTTTTTCAACTCCTTTGGTCATTTATTATTTAGTAATTAAAGCATTAAATGACAATTTTTACTTTTAATATTATGTTCATATTAGACATTGTTTAGCTTTCATGTGGAGAAAGAGAGACCCAGGCACAAACCTTTACATTATGCACCTGCTAGGCCTGCAACATGATTTTAATAATATTATTTAATAATAATTTTAATAATATGTGGACAATTTCTATGAAGTGGGTAGAAAGGTGTCAATAAGAGTGACTGTAAAGTGGCCGGTCAAGTGTTATGATCTTTGACCCACTGCTCAATCCATTTCAGGATCTGATTTATATTATCTTCAAGATCTTCTGGTTTATTGCTGGACAGTTGATGCACAATTTCTTCTTTGTAGGATGCTATGGCTTCTTCATAAAGAACTTGAAAAATCTCACACTGAATGTTATCTTTTAATTTCTTCTCACCATAACCCCTTGTTTCAAGTCTTTTGTACAATACACTGTTATCTGTTCTCAACACAAAAACTATGTGAAACCAGCGTTCAGGGAAGAAATCACAACCATGGTAATCAACAATAGTTCCACCTTCTCTCATTTGGTTTTCTAACTCATCAACTACTCTATCTTCATCTAAAATGGGACAATCATACTCTTCATCATAGCCATTATATAACTGCCCTTCTTGAGCTAAATCACCCACATTAATGTATTTCAGTCCTGATCTTGATGCAAGTTCTTTGCCTAGTGTAGTTTTTCCAACCCCTGGAGTACCGGTGAGCAGAGTGTTCGGTAACAACATAGTCCTCCACAGCGACCACACAAGCGCCTTCAGGTAGGATTTTTAAAAGCAGAAAATTTTAGTTGAATAGCAAAGTGTTTTTACTATGTGAATGAGTCTGTGGGTAGTTGGTACTGTATTTGCTTAGTAATTTTCAATCACTTGTCACTGAAATAATGACATTTTTAGTTCTGTGAAAATGTATCTGACAGTGCCAGGCAATGACCATTTGAAGTTAAGAGATTTGGTTATCAGTAGTATAAATTATTTTTGACCCAAAGACCTAAATTCTGATACATCACATTGAAAAGTTGCCAGCATTTTATTTTGATTTGCTTTGTTGTTTGTACCTATTTCAGTTGGACTTGGAAGAAAAGGTATTGGTTCATAAGCTACTCAGAAGGCTCGTATCTGAGGATTAAGGCATACTTTTTTTTTTTTTTAAGGGTTTTTCGGTCTCTTTTGTGGTACTGGAATGGAACCCAGGGCCTTGTGCATGCCAGACTGGCGCTTTGCCACCCAGCCCCACTCCAGCCCTCAGCATGTGCCCTCAGGGGGGAGAACAGAATGACTCCACTTTTGAGTTCCCATAGCCTTTTTGAGGTCTCCGGTGGAAGGATGGCATTGAGAGGATCAGAACTGGTAGCAAGTATGATCCAAGGGGAGCAGTCCCAGAGGGTCCCGAAGTGGTTGTTTCCTGGGGCAGCAGTAACCCTGATTACCCTTTGTGCTTTGCAGGAGGTGTCAGGTGGACACTGGCTTTACCTCCAAACTTTGGGACTCATTAGTAGAGTTGTGTTTCTGACTTTTTTCCTTCAGGGTCCAGGTTACTAACCCATTCTTCTCTGCTACAAGAAATACTTTCTTTATTGAAATGTTTTGAATATTCTTACGTTTATGTTTTTTTCTGCACACTAGGAATGGAACCAGGGCCTCGCACATGTCAGGCGAGCCTCTGCCGTGAGCTACACCACAGCCCTATTCTCAGTTCAGGAGACAGGTCATAGGGGATTGCTTATTAAAAAGTGCAAATACAGTAAGCAGACCCACTATGTTTTGAGAAGGCCATGGTCTTGAACTGTATATCCAGCCTCTGAAAATTTGTTGAGAACAGAAGACAGAGTTTTATGTAATTTCCTCTTCAGATATGTGCAGTGAGAGGAGAGTAGGAGCCTGGGTTCTTAGAAATGGTCATGGCTAGCCTTAAGGCTGCTCGCCGTACTGGCATTTTCCTCCCTGTTTGAGGCATCTCGGAGGCTGGTGGTGGTGGGTATGCAGGCTGTGGAGTCTGCCTGGACCTTGGAGGAGGGTCTCCAGACCTGACTTCTTAGAGGGTGGAACTTGTCTTTTTGTTGGGTGGAGTGGTAGTTTCTCTTCCTGGAATCCCAGCTTCATGGAAAGCTGACGCATTTATAAAGTATGCTTCTTTTTTGGAACTACCCCAGAGGGTAGGCCTTCTAAGGTTATTTGCTTCTCTCAGATAAGTGTCTTGTCTCTTTGCCACTGTTATTTAGGTCAGATCTGAGTTAAATCACAAGCTTGGGATATTAATCTAGTTCTAAAATTTTGCTTACGTCAGGCCTGGCTTTGTGTCTTAAAATAGACCTGTGGTCATGAAGGAAAAAACAAAACAAACCATTCCTCCAGTTTTGATGTTTGGCAGCTCTGCTTCCTTCTTTGGGGTAGAAGTGTGACCCTTTAGTGAGATGGGAGGGGAAGGGAGAGGAGGGGCAGGAACTGAGCTCTGCTCCCTGGTCCTAGTGGGTGCTCCGCAGGTCTTCTCCCTGCCTCTCCCCTCTGAGAGTGTACAGGAGAATAATAGCTATTTCTAACTGTTTAGAAGTGATCCAAGTTCTAAAGATAAACATTTTACAAATAGTTCTTGGCTTGAAAAAATAGCTGTAATCATGCCATCAATCAGTGGTGTGAATTGGGGTGATGTATAGGTGTATGTTGCAATATTATTGTTTGGAGATTGAGATTATAAAGCAGTGTGATGACTTAAAAATAGAAGTTTTTTCATATGGAGAGGTGTTATTCATTTATCGTAGTAATAACGGTCATTAAAATTTAGAACTCCCATAATTGGGCTGTGAGTCTGGAATATATTCTTGCAAGGTAGTTGCACAACCTTATATTTTGAGGTATTTTGATTCAGATTTTGGAAAGAGCTTGTAGTGCTTTTCAGCCAGGTCCAGTCAAGAGCAGTGAGAGATTGAGCTGGTCACTGCCATCTGGGGTCACTTTACGGGTGATTCTGGCACAGTACTATCAAATAGAACTTTCTGCCACGATGGAGATTGTCCTGTGTGTGGCATTAGAGGTGTCACCTGCTTGCATGTTAAAGTTTAAACAGCATGTGTAACTAGTGGCTGCCCTGTTGGGCAGTGCAGATGTAGGATATTGGGGTCTTAGTCTGGCTGATAGATTAGGGTGAACAGTTTATGTATGGAAAGATAACAGAAGTTATAAAGGAAAGGTAAATTGTAGCATATTTGGTCCCTGCGCTGTGCTCTGAAGGTATAAAAGGCTGAGGTTTGTCTTCTGTGCTCAGTGGTCTCTAATCTTTATGGCATGTTGTTGCTCAGGACTTTTCTTCCCTGAAATTTAAGACCTGCCCTGGCAGCCCCCAGCTGCTACCTGTGCCTGTGGTTGGATTGAACCTGGGACTCACTTGGCATGCCACTGGAAGATGGCTGCTGACTTTTAGTTTCAATCTGGGCAGGTTGACAAGGGAAGGTTGAGATGACTGAAGTGTAGTGAAGTAAGATAGAGCTTAAGTCAACTCTGGGTGGCTCTCATTTGGTACAGTAGGCTCTTAAAGAAGGTTTTTCATTTGAAGTGTAAGGCAAGCAAAATTGATCATAGTTTCTTCAATGGATCTCTTTAGAGTCTCCTTTCAATTTACCTTTTTAACTTGGTTTCTTACACGAATCTCTTGATGTTAGTGCAACTGAGCTTATTAATTTACATGCTTTATGAATTGCCTCTTTCTTCTGGTGTCTCTTTTCTGAAACTTTCCTCTGTGTGTGTGTAATTGGAGATTGAACCAGAAGGTATTCTTCTACTGAGCTATATCCCTTTTTAAAACTTTTTTCTTGCTAAATTGCTGGGGCTGGGCTCAAACTTGTGATCCTCCTGCCACAGCCTCCTGAGCTGCTTGGTATATAGGTGTGCACCACCTTGCCTAGCTCCTCTGCCTTTCTAAAAATCCTAATTGCCATCCCCTGTACAATGCTATGCACTTTCAGTCCCAGTCCAGGTGTAGATCCGGCCTTGTAGTTTGATATTTCTCATAAGTTGTGTTGTCTTAGTTATTTGTTTACATCATAAATTCCTTGTGCTTTTGTCTGTCATATATATATATATATATATATATATATATATATATATATATATATATTTATTTTAATGCTATCTGTAGTGAGCAACAAGTAAAATTTAAAAAGAAATACGAAGTGCACCTCAGCTGGTTTGTAGGGTCATTTAAACAGTTGAGACTGTCTTTTTATTCATTTTATTTAGTAAGCATTGTTTATAAAGTACTGTGGGAAATACAAAGGTGGTCAAAGTACAGTTTCTTCCAAGGGATTGATAGTCTGGTGGAATCTGTAGACCACAGCAACATCTAAGTGAGGTAGGTGTTATGAACAACATCGACCCTCAGGACTGGGAACAGGAGGATGAGCAGTGGAGAGGATTGGTGTGGATTTTGCAGAGCGGGCGAGTCTGCCCTGGAGGAGGGTTCACATCTAGAAAGAACAAGGAGGCGGAGGGGATCCCTGAGACAAAAGCTCCAAGGATGGGGAGCTGAAAGGCTACCATAGAGGGTCTGCAGAGTCAGGCATGTGGTGATTCACACCATGAAACTGAGGAAAGATTATTTCTTCTTTTTTTCCTTTCTTTTTAATAAATTGGGTAATATTTCTTGAAGGATATCCAGTGTCATCTTTTATTTATTTGTGGTGCTGGGAATCAAACCCAGGGTCTTGTACATGCTACTTCAAGGGCTCAGCCAAGAGCTACAGCCCCAGCCCCTCAGATGACTTCTTCATCAGTAATTTAGCAGCGATTCTCAGGCTAGCACTGAAATCATCAGAAGGGCTTGTTAAAATTCATGAAGCTGGGCCCACCCCGTGGTTTGTTTCAGTGGTGTGGGGCTTTCATTCCTGATAAGTCCTCCTGGGTAACTGATGCTGCCTGTGAAGAGTATCACCCATGTATGTATGTATGTACATTCCCAGGGTTGATGCACCCGGTGTTCCTGTTGCTCTGGACATGTCGTCGGGTTTTCCCATAGGTTGTAATTCAGGCCTCTGTTACTCAGCCCCTAGTTCAGTGCCATAACCACAATGATTGAAAGTGGTAATACTGAACTTGCACATGTGGTACCCAGTTCTTTAAGTATCTGAACTAGGGGCATATACTTTGGGAAGCCCTAAGGAAACATGGATTTTAAACTTCTATGACTCCAAATGCAAAGCCCAAACAAACATTTTTTTCAGGACCTTTTTACATTTTTTTTTTGTGTGTCTCAGGGATTGAACCACATCCCAGCCCTATTTTGTTTAGAGACAGGGTCTCACTGAGTTGCTTAGGGCCTCACCATTGCTGAGATTGGCTTTGAACTCATGATCCTCCTGCCTCAGCCTCCTGAGCTGCTGGAATTACAGGCATGCACCACTATCGCTCGGCCCTCTGCATTCTAGAAAGTGAATGAGATATCCAAAGAACGGTTATGTAGTTCATATCTATTGATATTTACCATATTAGAGAGTAAAAATGATATTTAAAACATTAATTCATTAAAAATAATAAACTAGGGCTGGGGTTGTGACTCAGCAGTAGAGAGCTCAATTAGCATGTGTGAGGCCCTGGGTTCGATCCTCAGCACCTCATAAAAATAAATAAAATAAAGGTATTAAAATTTTTTTTAAAACAATAAACTAGTAGGTTACATAATTTTTAAAATGGAGAATAACTATTTTCTAAAACAATCTTATGGGGAGATGGTATTGCTTTTTTGCAAATCTGTTTAATGATCTGCTTAAGAGAAGACAACTTGATTCTTTTATCTTTTCTGCATTTTATTTATAGCAATAATTTGTTTTGGTTCAAGTGTATGAAGAAAAATGGCCCACACAGATGTGTAGGAAAGGAAAAGAGTATTTTTAAGAGGATTTTCAGGTAATTATGGAGATTTTTCCTTGATACTACTACAAAATTAATAGTTTTTTAAAAATATTTTTTAGGTGTAGTTGGACACAATGCCTTTATTTTATTTATTTTTATGTGGTGCTGAGTATCGAACCCAGGGCCTCGCACATGCTAGGTGAGCGCTCTACCAATGAGCCACAACCCCATCCCAGGCTGTAGTTTTTTTAAAGGTGGAATCTGAAATGGATATGAGATGAACTTTTCTTATTGTTAACAGAAAAAAATCTATTGGCCTCCTTTGTGCTTTGAGTGACTACTTTCTCTAAGCAAAGCCTTCTACGGATATGCACTGCTGGTGGAGAAAATTCTCTGAGTCAGGAGATCTTTCACATATGGGCACATTTCATTGCGTAGCATTAAGAAATCACATGAATTGGTCACTGGTCACAGTGGTGCAGCCTCCCAGGGACTTGGGAGGCTGAGGCAGGAAGAGTTTGAGACAAGCCTGGGCAAATTAGCGAGGCCCTCAGCAACTTAGTGATACCTTGCCTCAAAATAGAATAAAAACTTAAGAAAGGGCTGGGGATGTGCCTCAGTGGTACAGCGCCTCTGGATTCAATCTCCAGTACCAAAAAGGTACTGGAAGAGTACAAACAAAGAGGCCATAAGAGTACAAGTTCAAGGCCAGCTTCTTCAGTTTAGCAAGACCTTGTCACAAAAAATAAAAGAGCCTGGGGATGTAGCTCAGCAGTAAAGTGCCCCTGGGTTTAGTCCTCAGTGCCAGAAAAAGCTTACATTTGTTAGTAGAATTGATCTCATCCCAAAGGTTGTCAGTATTGGGAAACTGTCAAGCTCACTGTAAGAATATGTCTTCCAAAATTCTAAGTTTGTCTGTAAAGCTTACTTGTCATCATGGTCAACACATTTGTTTTCCTTAAGTGCAAGATGCACATAGTTCACTATGGAGAAGGTATCTTCCCACCACCAGCACCAAGAATACCCCAGTTTCTCAATCCTTCTTTCAAGAAATAAAGAGAGAGCTCATGCTAGGCTTGCTCAGGTGCTGTTCTGAGACAGTCAATGCACAGCAGTGTGAAGCCAGGGCACCTGCTGGACCTCTCAATTCTAAAAAGGCCTGCATCCACGTGTTGACTCTCTCTTTTTTTTTTTTTAAGTTGTAGATGGACATAACATCTTTTTTTTTTTAATATTTATTTTTTAGTTTTCGGCAGACACAACATCTTTGTTTGTATGTGGTGCTGAGGATCGAACCCCGGGCCGCACGCATGCCAGGCGAGCGCGCTACCGCTTGAGCCACATCCCCAGCCCCGGACATAACATCTTTATTTATTCATTTATTTTTTATGTGGTGCTGAAGATTGAACCCAGTGCCTCATACTTGTGAGGCAAGAGCTCTACCACTGGGCAAACCCCATGGGTTGACTCTTGATAAGATCTTTTTTTTTTTTTTTCCTTTCTTAAGTGCTTCTTGACATTCTTAAGTGAAAGTGGCTCTTTTTCCCCCTGCACTGGCTGGCCCGAAATTCAGAAAAGACTAGGAAAGTTTGGTCCCATTGCTTTTGAAATTAAAAAGGATGTCGCTTAGTGGCAGAGCACCTCTCTAATGTACCAGATAGGCAGGATACCAAGAAAAAAGCATATTGTGTTTTTCTCTAAGCAGAGTAAAGATAATTTTACTTCATTGCTTCCCAGATGAGGCTGTTTCTTTCAGAGTTTGGGCCCTCCTCTGTTTTAACATATAAGTAATTTTATATTGTTAATTGCATAATTCTGTGGACTTAAAAATAGTTAATATAGGCCTATGGTAATAAAAACTAAAAACTCCCTTCCCCTGCTCTCATTAAGTTTGGTGCAGATTTTTCTGAATTCTCTTTTATAAATTGTATGGTTTTAGGCCTTTTACTGAACTGGTGATACTAGATAATATAAAGCAAAGTGAATATATTGCTATAAATCACCTTTAAATTCATTTCAGCAGCATTTTCATGTTTTTAGTGACCAGTTCTGGACTCATTGTGAAGATGGTTTATTATTGAATGTGAGGGAAACTTAGCCTATGAAGTGACTTTCATAACAGACATTGTTTCTATTTATTTTCCCCTATAGATTAAGAATTTATTTTGTTTCTCTGTGCAGGTTTAATCTAGAGACTGACTGTATGATAGAAACACCCACACTTTTATCAATGGTCGGGGAAAGACAGTGGCAACAGGCGAAGAGAGACTGAATCACAAAGACAATGAGTCTGCTGAAGCCAAGCGGGCTGAAGGCCCCTACCAAGATCCTCAAGCCGGGAAGCACAGCCCTGAAGACACCTGCTGCTGGTAACACTTTGTTTTCTTCAATAGCAAATAAATTATCCTGTATGAGACTTTAATTTTCGTTTTTATGTTAAAGAGATAACCTTATAGTTGTGCTTCCCAGTGCACACCTGTAATTCCAGCAGTTCAGGAGGCTGAGGCTGGAGAATCACAAGTTCGAGGCCAGCCTCAGCAACTTAGATATTAAAAAAAATAAAAAGGACTGGGGATGTAGCTCTCTGGTAAAGCATGCCTGGGTTAAATACTCAGTACCCCCCCCCAAAAAAAAATATATCTATGTTTATAAGGATATATATGTATAACCAGTTTTCATATTCTTGAAAACATTTGAAAAAGTTTTGATTAGTAGAAAGGAAAGACATTTATTTTCGGCCAACATAGGGATCACTGACTTGGCCTTGAATACCCAGCAGGAAGATGTAACCAAAGACAAGTGTACAAACACAAGGGCAGAAGAGTCATAAAGAGTAGTGATACCTGCATTATTAAAGACTGTGGACCTTTTAAATGTGACTTGAGGTGTGCATTTGTGTCAACCCTACCAAAGTCAGTCAAGCTGGAAGTTGTGGAGAGGGCTTTTAGTCAGGATTGCCTGACCCACAACCCCACCAATGCCTACAAAAAAAATGCAGAACTAGGCTCAGACAAGGGTTCCTCTATTTAAGTAGAAACAAGAAAATGATTTTTTCCCAAATATGTTTTTTAGTAGTCCATACGCACAGAACTTTTTATAGGGAGTGTTTTATTTATACATGATTTGTTTAGTTGGATATCTTCATACTCTATCTTTTGTGTACTTTGTAATAGTACTTATACTTTTAGGGTTAATCATCTGACCCTTTTCACTTACGTGCTTTAGCCATTATTCAAAGATTAGATATCACTGTGGTGGAAAGCTGCAAAGCCAGATTGGCTGACAGCCTGGTTCTCTCGGCACTGAGGAGTGGACAAAAGGCAGGATTGAAACAAGGACTTACAGACTCAAGGCTCTGCACTTTTGCCTGCAGATGTCCAGTGGGTGGCTAAACGCAGGATTACAGTCTTGGCATCTTTGCTTCCATTTTGCAGGAGTCTCCTTTGCTCTGCTTGGTCTCCAGGAATAAGGTCTGGTCTCCCAGGCAAGAGTAACTTTCTTACTGGGGACAAGGTCCCACCTGAGATCATGATGGACAGACCACACCTGATCAAGATCATCTACTTGGGCAGTTGTAAAAATTCTCCACCTATACGCCCCCAGCCCTTGCTCTCCTTCCCTTTCTATAAAACCTCAGGGTCATTCCAGCCTCTGGAAGACAGGGCTAAGAATATGGGTCCCCTTGTCTTCCAAGTGTGGTTATGCTGATTAAATTTTCTTTCATATCATTAAAAGTTATTGTAAAAGACAGAATTTGGGCTCGGGGTGTAGCTCATTAGTAGTGTTTGCTAGCCTGTGCAAGGCCCCGAGTTGAATCCCTAGCACCGCAAAATGTTAAAGTATTTCTTTTGATTCTTCCACATGAGTCTTCCTGAACTCTTTAGGCCTTTCTCTGTGGGGATTAGAGAAAAAAACAATATTCTAGCCCAAAAGTTTTATGACATACTAATTGACCTGTAATTGGAGGGGAACCTTCCCAGACAGCTCATACATGAACTGACCCAATCCATTCAGGCTTCTATATAAGAAAGTACATTAGCTGGGTGGTTTATAAACAACAGAAATTTATTGCTGACAGTTCTGTTACATCCCTAACTTTGTGTAGTTTATGCATCTGTCAGATGTCACCTCCTACAAAAGGCCTTCCCTGACTTCCCTTTCCAAGGCACTATCTTCTCCACAGCACTTAGATCACTTGCAGGTACCTTGAATGTTGAATTGCCACCTTCCCACCTCTAGACTCTGGTCTCTGCAAGGACACAAATGATGTTCTTTTTGCTTTGTCCCCTGCATAGAGCAGTACTTGGCACTAGTCACACAGAAGCAGGAATTTGATGAGCATGTGCAGAATGAATAAATACATCATTTCATTTTTTTAAAGTCTTTTTTGTAGTTGAAGATGTACAGTGTGCCTTTATTTATTTTTTTATGTGGTGCTGAGAATCAAACCCAGTGCCTCACACATGCTAGGCAAGTGCTCTGCCACTGAGCTACAGCCCCAGCCCACATTATTTCATTTAATTCTCATTTTAAAAGCCCTTGAGAGATGTTCCTGTCCTCTTACAGTTGAGGAAATTAAACTAAGGTCATGTCACAGCCTGAGATGATGATATGCCCGGTAACTGATAGAATGATTAAGAACGTCCACTTTGCCAGATCACACTAAATATTTAATAGATTCCTGTTGGATGGCTGCATGGCTGAGTTTCCATTGCAGATATCACATTTCTGTAGAACTCTTAACTGCTATCTTTAGGGTAGCGATTGCACAAAGGCAAATTGCGTTGGACCTGGTGCTGTCTTTGCTGTGATTTCCACCTCTGTCATCAAAGGAAGAGGGTGTAGTAGTCTTTCAATAGTAATGATGTAAGCTGCAGCCCTGAACCCTGTCCTTCTTTAAGCCTAAATGTGAATCTATGTGGTGAAGTAGTCCCTGTTTTGTCTGCTTTGATTGCTACTCAAATGTATGAACAGAGCCTGTCTCAATGGATCTGTATGGGCATTTGTGTATGGTGGGCAAGTGGAGTGAAAAATGAGGTCAGACCTGTAAGTATAGGTCTGGCAAGGGACTAATTTCCTCTTACTTTGACTTATAGTCTTAATCACAAATGAAAAACTCCATCACTGAATGTTAACAGCATTGGAAAGTGAAGTGATGGGGCCAGTCCTCTGCCTTTTTGCAGTAGAAAAGTCAAGCCAGGACTCTTCTGTCACAGGCTACTCCTGTTGCTGTTTTTATTTTTTTTTCTTCATACCTTTACTTTGTTTTTATTTGTATGTGGTGCTGAGAATCGAACTCAGTGCCTCACGCATGCTAGGCAAGCGCTCTGCCACTGAGCCCCAGCCCCATCCCCTGCTGTCGCTCTTACTGTTTGTTTTCCATTACGGTAATAGTTGGTGCTTGAATATGAAACAATCTTTTCTGGGGCTGGGGATGTGGCTCAAGCGGTAGCGCGCTCGCCTGGCATGCATGCGGCCCGGGTTCGATCCTCAGCACCACATACAAACAAAGATGTTGTGTCCGCCAATAACTAAAAAAATAAATAAATATTAAACAAAACAATCTTTTCTGATCTTTATTTGTTTTCAGCTGCAGCCCCGGTAGAAAAAATGATATCTAGTGAAAGAGCCTCGAGCGCTCCCTCCACTGAGACCCCAGAGGAGTTTGTGGATGACTTTCGAGTTGGAGAGCGTGTTTGGGTGAATGGGAATAAGCCTGGATTCATCCAGTTTCTTGGAGAGACTCAGTTTGCCCCAGGCCAGTGGGCTGGGATCGTTTTAGATGAACCCATTGGCAAGAACGATGGTTCTGTGGCAGGAGTTCGGTATTTCCAGTGTGAACCTTTAAAAGGCATCTTTACCCGACCTTCAAAGTTAACCAGGAAGGTGCAGACAGAGGACGAAGCCAATGGCCTGCAGACAGCTCAGGCATCCAGAGCCGCTTCACCTCTGTCCACGTCTGTAGCCAACATGGTGTCCTCCTCAGCCACACCCTCAAACATTCCCCATAAGTCTTCCCAGCCAAGAGCCAAGGAACCGCCAGCCACGCCTCAGATCAGCAACCTTACGAAAACTGCCAGCGAGTCGATCTCCAACCTTTCTGAGGCTGGCTCAGTCAAGAAAGGAGAGCGAGAGCTCAAAATTGGAGACCGAGTGTTGGTGAGTCATGTGTGCAGCATCCCTGTGTCCTTTTGTTCCTAGTTCTTGTATTTTTTTCACTTTAATGAGTTTTTATTTTTAATGGTAGTGGGGATTGAACTCCGGGGGGAGGGGGAGACCTACCACAGAGCTACATCCCCACCCTTTTAATTTTTTTTTTATTTTTGAGACAAGGCCTCCTTAAGTTGCTCATACTCGGTCTCAATCTTGTGATCCTCCTGCTTCAGCCGAGTAGCTGGATTATAGACATAGAAACAGAAAACATTTTGACTTGAAAATTAAAAGTAGACTTAGAATATGAAATGTTTGATTTGAAATTCTCATGATTTAAAAAAAAAAATTGGGGCTGGGGGTGTAGTTTAGTGGGAATGTGTGAGGCCCTGGGTTTCATCCCCCCACCCCCCAAGAGAAAAATCCATCACCAGAATACTAATGGCACTACAGTCAGCATTGCTGTGGGAGGTTCTAGATTGCTCCAGAATTTCCCCAGTGCCACCTGCCGTGCCCTTGGGGCTCCTGCCAGGGGCTGTCTTCTTCACACCCTTCAGCCCTCGTAACTTCTGCTTCTCTTGCTATGGAACCAGAACCAGAACTGGCAGAAAAGGGCGTTTCTGTATCAGGTTTGCTGTGGCCTCCACAGGATCCCAACAGGAGGTCCCGCTGCACCCTCCAGGAAGGCAGTCGGCTGGGAGTTCTGCCTTCTCCTCCTGCCCAGTGGGAAGGAGGGTGAAAGGGATTATGAGAGAATGTCTTTCTGGAAAAATGGTGTGGGTTAAGAATGGGCTCGAGGGGCTGGGGCTGTAGCGCACTTGCCTGGCATGTATGAGGCACTGGGTTCGGTTCTCAGCACCATGTATAACTAAATAAAGGTCTATCAACAACTAAAAAAAAAAGAAAGAAAAAAAAGAATGGGCTTGAGGTGAGGTGAGTTGAGCTGATGTGGGCTGGCAGGGGCTTGGCACGGACCTGTCTGCATCCTAGTACTGAGCCTCTGGCTACGGTTTTCCCTTTGTCCATGTGAACATTCTCTGGATCTTGCTGCTGGAGGTTGCTTTAGTCTGTTCTGCATGAGGAGCTTCTTGGGGTGGAGGCTCTGCTGTGTTTGACTCTCAGAGACCTCTTTGCAGACTGGAAGTCCCTAGGGTAACTTGTTACTTGGAATGTTTTTGAGAGGGTCTTTCTTCATTTTTTAGTGTCTTTGATATTTCAAGGTTATAATGTCAGGTGTTTTGAGAAACTTGACCAACTTGTAGCAGTTTGTGTCTGCATTGGGGACTGTATTTTCCTCTGTGAATTCTGAGCTTTATGTCCATATGAGGAGCTTCATCAACTTTTTGTTTTTAAAGTGACACGTTTTATTTTTCTATGAGCAGCTCTTCTACGAGGAATCTGGTAGCGAGTTTTTCTTGTTCTCAACACTTTTATGAAGGTCTTTTGATATTGTAAAAGGGAAAAAATTCTTCACAAGATTTACTTTGCTTGCATTTGAACCTCAAATAACTGTAGTTCATCCAACATAAGCTTTTTATGTGTCTTTATTCATTTGTTTGACATTATATTAGATTTATCTATAATATGTAAATTTAAAAGTGGAAAATGGAGTCACACTATACATACATCATTTCATAATAAACCTTTATGGATTTTAGGCATTTCTGTGCAAGGAATATAGTTCTTCATTTAAATCAAATAAGCTGCTACTATTTGATATTATATTGTTTGGATGTATGTATTATACCTAATTTAATCATAGGCATTTATAGGCTCTCATTCTTCCCCCCTGGAAATAAAATTTGAATTAAGAGTTTTGTTTTTTTTTTTTTTGGTACTGGGGATTGAACCCAGGGGTGGGTGCTCTACCACCCAGCTACAACCCATCCCTTTTTATTTTATTTTGAGACAGGGTCTCATTAAATTTCTCAGGCTGGTCTTGGACTTGGAATCCTCCTGCCTCAGCCTCCTGAGTAACTGGGATTATAAGTGTGTGCCACTGTACCTGGCAAAGAGTATAAATATTTAATATTTATGTAATAGGTATTACTAAATTGCAGCCCCAAAAGCCCTTACTATTTTATGTTCTTAGAATTAATGTACAAATGTGATTTCTTCTGTTTCTCTCAAGCCTCTTTACCAGTGACTTAGAGCCCCGCAAGCTGTGAATCTGGTTGGGTCATTGCCCTTACACTGGGCACTTGTTCGTCTATCTGGGCAGCTAATGTGCTCAGGTTGTGTGGGGCTTCATGCTCTGGGGAAGCTATTCTGTACCATAAATTCCATTGCCTTGATTGCTGATATAGTAATTGTTAGCAGAAAGTTCTGTTGTGGTTTTTTTTTTTTATAGATTAATTTATGTAAGTTGACATTTTTACAATATTAAGACTTTTTCTTAAGGTACATTTTTTTTTACTGAAGAAAGAAGGCTTTAAAGTTTCTTATTTACAGAAAAAATTTACTACTATAGAACCAGGAAAGAGAGATTGAGTAAGACTGGGACTCCGGTCCCCAAATCCCCTTCAGGGGCATACTTTCAGTGATCTAAACACTTCTCCTAAGGCCCTACCTCCTGCAGGTCTTGTCACCTCTCTGTATTGCCACCCTGGGGACCAAGCCTTTAATAGGTGGATCTCTGGGATACAGGTATCCAAACTATAGCAGTGCCTATACACCTGTCATGATTTTCAGGTTCCTTCCCAATCAGTTATTTTTTTAATTGGTGCATTAGAGTTGTGAGTAGTAGTGGGATTTTTTGTTACATATTTGTACATGCACACAATATAACAGTATCATTTGGCCAATATTATTCCCTAGTATTTCCCCTTTCCCTCTCCCTGGTTCCTTTTCTCTACTGTCTTGATCTCTCTTTGGTTTTCATGAGATCCCCCTGCCCTGTCACATTTTTTTTTCCTTTTTCCTTGCTAGCTTTCACATGAGAGAAGACATGTGACCCTTAACTTTCTGAGTTTGGCTTATTTCACTTAATGTTCTCTAGTTTCATCCACTTTCCTGCAAATGACATAATTTCATTTTTCTTTATGGCTGAATACAACTCCATTGTGTATATATACCACATTTCTTTATACATTTGTCCATTGGTGGACACCTAGACTGGTTCCATAATTTGACTATTGTGAATTGTCCTGCTTCAAACATGGATATGCATATGTCATTATAATATGTTTACTTTAATTCTTTAGGATAAATGCCAAGGAGTGGTATAGCTAGTTGGGTCATATGGTGGTCCATGCCTAATTTTGGGGGGAACTTCTGATTTCCATAGTGGCTGTACTAATTTACAATCCCCCCAACAGTGTTAAAGTGTTCCTTTTTCTCCACATTCTTGTCTATTACTTTGTAGGGCTCATATGTTCATATTTAAAAAAAAAAAAAAATCCTGCCTGACATTGAGATCTTTTCTAGCAGGTTAGATAGTATCCCATGTCCTCTGCAGTGATGATTACTGCAGATTTGAATCATTTTTTTCTGATTTTAGTTTTGATTTTTTTTTTTTTTTTCATTTTCAGTTTTCACGTGTCCTAAATCTTATTCAACATAGCCTTATGGGATTGCCTAGTAGGGAACTAGAACCTCACACTGCTGATGAGAAGCTGTTTTTTATTTTGAGACAGGATCTTGCTAAGTTGCTAAGGCTGGCCTCAAACTTGCAGTCTTTCTGTTTCAGGCTCCTGAGTGTCTGGGTCCCCATTTTTTCTTTTGAGGCTAGCTCATCCATCTGCCTATGGGATTCACTGGCCCTTCTTACTCCAGACCTGTTGCCCTCGCTGCTCTGAGTCAGGCTGTATTAGATTTAGTTGGACTTCCAGGCTGGTGTGTCTCTCCTGCGTTCTGTTCTTTACATAGAGAGAGAGAGAGGTCCATAGCACAGATCAGTGATGTGATTCCTCTGGGTAAAATCCTTTAGTACAGAGCCCAGCCTGTCCACAACAACGGCTTAGTTTTCATGCTGTTTAGTGTTTCTGTGGAGCTTAGTAATGGGGCAGTGCTTTCTTTTTGCAAACTGAAGCCAATATCTCAGCCCCAACGGTGCCAAAGTTGGTATATCTCTTGCAATTGTTTGTTTGTGGGTCAAGGAGCCAGCCCACATGGTGGAGTGCTGCTTTGGGATTCAGACAGAGGACAGTTCAACCTCGGCCTAAACCCAAGTGCTGGTGTGGAAGTTCTATTACTAAGTCATGCCTCCCAATATAAAACAGCTTTATTGCTCCCATGATTTTTTAAGCATATTTATAAAAATATCTTGTGACCTATGATCTTGTATAGAAAAGCAAACTCTGCTAATATCATTCTGGTCAGGCATCATGCTTTTTTATTTTAGTGCCATTAGGACTGCCTCTGGCGATTAGATATTCTATACTTTATCAACCCCAGAGATAAAAGGAGTAGAATTTTTTTTGTGGTTTTCTATTAATATTTTAAACCGTTAAAATATTTTAAAAGTCGAAATATTTGTGAGTCCTTGGAAATATATTTGCCTAAATTGCCTACTTCAAAAATCATAACTATAGAATATATTGGGTTTTGTTGGCTTTTTGTTTCATCGGTGTTTTTAGGAGTTTGGGGCAAAGCGTGTTTTTCCTTTTTTTTTTTTTAGTTGTTGATGGACACCATATCTTTATCTTTATTTATTTATTTTTATGTGGTGCTGAGGATCGAACCTAGGGCCTCACGCATTTAAGACAAGCACTCTACCACTGAACTACAACCCCAGCCTTTGTTTATTTTTGCTGGGGATCAAACCCAGTGCCTCATTCATGCTAGGCAAGTGCTCTGCCGTTGTGCCACATCCCCGGCCCGCAAAGCATGTTTTGAATATGGTTGGAGTGAGTGGGGACTGTGCAGCCATCACACGGCTCAGTATTATAGTGTCCCCATCACCCAGGAGTGCCTTTATGCCAGCCTGTAAGCATTCTTCATCCCATCTGCAGCCCCAAGCAGTCACTGATCTGCTCGCTATCTCTGGAGGCCCTGCCCTTTCTGGACAG